GGGAGGGAGGGAGGGAGGGGGCGCCCTCCCGCCGGCCGCTTCGCCCAGCCTGGCGCGACAGCCGCTCTCCAGGGCTGCCATTTTGTCGCTGAGGGGAAGGCGCGCAGTTAGCTCGGCGAGCCAGGAAGGGCCTGGGCTGAAGGGCCGGGAAAACCCGTGCCGGTCGCTTCCCGCGGGGGAGGCCGGCTGATCTCCAGGCGGTTCGATGCCGGTTCCGAGAGGCCCCAAAGGCCACGGCAACTCTGGCCGGTTTTACCTGCCTGGCAAAGGACCCGGTGGCCGCCCCAGACGGGAAAGGCTTTTGCAAGGCCCCTCCGGAGCTGCAACCGGGGCTCGGTTGCCATGGACGTTTCCTTACCGGAGAGGGACGATTAGCCCAATGACGGTCCTTGGAAGGGCCCCTCTTTCCCCCGACTCTTGGAAGCTGCAAAAATAACTTCTTGCCGTCCCTCTGCTTGTCTTTCGCTGAAGAATTTTGCAGCTGTGTAATAGTCATTGTAAAGAGTCATATTGTGTCAAGATGGCTTCGCAGTATTCTGTAAACTCTTGGAGTGCTCCATACTCCATTGAGGGACGGAGTTCCTTTGAATGTGCTGGCAGAAAGAATGGAGTCTTGAGGATACCCCGCTCAAGAGGATTAAAGAAATTCAGCTGTCTAGAACTTACTTAGACTGTGATTGTGCACATAAGAATAATGCAGATTTATGTCAAAATTTTCATTTATTACTCTTGAGAATTTTGCCAAATCAGAATTTACTTTTTTTTACCAAAAAATGGCTTAAAAGTGTTGAGCAACATAGTTAATATTCAATAAAAATTTTATATTGAAATTTTTCCTGGTATTCTTTGTATTGGTTATTAGATTGAAGTGTCAGCTCTACAAATGGGCATGGCTGGAGTATTTTTGCAATAATTGAAAAAAATGCATGTAAATAATTTAAAAGAAAGGTGAAATCAGTAGGAAGTTAAAATTATGAACACATTTCTCATGTACATTTTGCTGTACATTAAGAGGATTGCACTCAGAAGGAAAGCTGTAAGTTACAATACTTAGTCTACAATAGTCTACTTAGTCTACAATACTTAGTCTACCTTCTGTGTTAATTCCTGGCTTTGTGGTAAATTGGTGCAATTTACTAGTTTGTTTTAATACTGTTTTAGTCATAGCTGCGTTCTTCATTCTCATGAGCTTTTCTGAGCTCTTGTGGGTGAAATTTGTCTCATTTCCTGGCAACAAATCTTGAATTCAGTGGGACTTGCGTCCAAATAGCTGTCAGGATTATCTCACCAGTCTTGTAATCCTGCTGATTTACAAAAGACATTGGTTAATTACATAATGGAAAAAACAATTGAGAATGAGGCAGGGAATTCAGGCAAGTAAGGTACAAACTTCAGGATCACCAAAACCGAGGGACTTTTGTTTTTAAACATGTAATTTCAGAAGCTTATATTCTTCTTCTTTCCACCAGGTGGACTCAGCACAGATCACTAAATAAACAACTTGAAAACAAAGCTGTAATCTACCAAAATTAGTGTCAAAATAACATAGCAAACAGCCAGGGGAAAAGCCATTAACTATAGATTAAACTAAAAATATTCAGCAAGTGGCCTTCAACAGCTTGATTTTTTCCCCAAATATCTAAAAAGGTCTTCTTCGACAGAGCCTACTTTTACTAAGCGCTTGCCTTTCTCTGATGGGGAGGGGGGAATCTCTGGAAAAACTCCAGATCTGGAAGGAGGAACATGTAGTGGTCCTTAAAACACCAAAGTCCCAAGTCATTCAGGCTCACTTGATCTAGTGAGAATGTGATTTCATTCAGAGCATGACAGGGCATTATGCTTAAAAGCTTCTGAAATGCAGTGGCATCAGGAGGCCCTGCCTCTGCATTCATCGGGGACTGATAGCGAAGAAGGTTTTCTAGAATTCCATGTTCCTGTCCATTGTGTTTCTGTACCAACACGTCTGAAGCTCAGTGAGATACTAATGAAACATCACCCTCTCTCATCTCCCACCTTGGGGATAGATGTGCAACAATTACAAACTATGTAGTTCTCAAATATGTCCATAAACTTTACTTTATTAGATTTATCTTACCTTTTCCTCCATGAATTTAGAGAATTCCTATGAGGTTGGTAGAAGTGAAGAAGTCACTGGTCCAAAGTGACCACTGAACTTTCATGGCTGAAGATGGACTTGAACCTGGAACTCCCTAATCTCAGTCCAGCATTTCATTTCTTTAACCACACTTTACAGTTTTGATGCAAGAAGAGAAAAAAGCCTTTGGGGCTACTTCTAGTAATATAGAAGTAGCTTGTTAGTATGGTACTGCTATTTGCAGAGTGTTCCAGATTCTAGTGCAACATGATATTTTTCTTTATGTTGGGAAGTAGCCTACTAAATTTACCTAAGGACTTTTTTTTGTCATTCCATCCTGCCTGCATATAGCCTTTTTAGTATTTATAGTTCTGAAGTTGGTGAGTTTAGACATGACAGAGTATTAAAAAAAATGTTATTTTGTTTCTGAAAGTACATCCAGGTGACTTGGATTCAAATCCATATTCAACCATAGATGAAATAAAAGTGAACTCATTGCTAACTGTTGTTTTGGGAAATTAATATACTCTGGGTATATATCTGAGTAGCTTCAATCCACTTTGCTTTCAGGTTGCAGAAGCCCTCTGAACAGTTTGCAAGTACAGAAGAAGTGAGCAGGTTTTTCTGCTACATTGGAATTCCTATAAAAAGAGTAATATAACTCTGCATAGAAACTGGCAAAACCAATAAAACCTGCCTACAGTTTTCAGAAAGCATCTCATATTTCATTAATTAGTTGGGACATATTTCTTTTTTCCCTTTGCCCTTCCCTTTTTCCTCCCTTAACATCTTTTTCTGTATCATGAATGGCCAAAACTGGATGCAGCATTCTGACCAGTGTGGAAAGGTCTTACCAATGCAGTATAAAGCAATACTAAAATGTCACGTAATCACTGAATATGAAAAAATGGTACAATGTGCATTTTCAGCAATTTCTAAAAAATGAATTGTCCATTTTAGCAATCTAATTGAGATAAAATACCAACAATAAAACAAAGAAGTTACATTGAGTAAATTTAATATTGTTCCATTGAAATTGTTCTTGTGTTTCTATTACTGATTCAAATTTTGCATCAATTTAATTATAATTTTTGACCCATTTGGTTTCTGACTCATACTTCACCAGCAATTTAGACCAAGGCCCAGCAGATTGTCCTCTGAGTTATGTTCAAATTCATTCTAATATTTCCTTTCTCCGCTTGTTTTTGCAATTCTGCAATGACACACGGATACTGAAATCAATCAGGCAATCTGGACCAGTAAGAACGGATTTTGTCTTTATCTTATTAATAAGTAAATATTGCAAGCTGAATAAATTATCAACTCTATAATTGGATTCACATTTGTTTATTTCATTTATAGCTTGCCTTTATTATTTTTTACACATAACTCAAGGAGGTGAACACATATAATACTCCTTCCTTTTCTATTTTTCCCACAGCAACAAACCTGTGACATGGGTTGGGCTGAGAGAGAGTGACTGGCCCAAGGTCATCCAGTTGGTTATTCATGGCTAAGGCAGGACTAGAACTCAGTGTCTCCTGCTTCCTAGCTTGGTGCCTTACTCACTAGACTAAACTGGCTATCTCTAATAACATTGAGTAATCACCCTATTGTTTTCATGGTGTTTAAAATCTAATAACAAAATGAACAATTCAAGAAAGCAAAAATTTAAAACAACATGAAAACTGCATCCTCTGGAAACAAAGAATACGAACATCTTTCAGTTCATGTTAATTCAATTCAGTTAGTTCACTTACACAGTTCAGTTTAATTAATAGAAAGGAGGGACCATTAAGTTGAAATAGATGAGCAAGTCAACTGTAGACAGGAAGAATAAAGGCAATGTTAATGTCCTAGTCAAAGAATTGGTGGCTTCCCAGTTGTTCTCTATTCCTCTGGATCGGCAAAATCAAAAAATGGTCATACTGTGACTTCGTAGCTTCCAAAAAGTGAATTTGGGTCATTCACATGACCAGCCCACTTTACACCCGTTATGACTGTAATAGGCAGACTCCATCATGGCTATAATTTGAGAACTACCTGCACATTAACAATTTAGAGGTGGGCAGCTTTTCCACATAAGATTATGCCCATACTGCGCACTTTGGTGCCTTAAAGGGAGTTTGGTTCCTCCTCTCCCATTACTATTTATCTAAATTTCTTACGCTGAGACAGCACTCAGGCCCTCCCAGCCATCTGATTTCCATGAGAACGAATGCAAACATAGCGTTAATCGCTGCTATTTGTTTATTGGTTTTCCATTTTTTAATATTTATCACCGTCTTCCATTTATGTACTATCTCATTCAATAAGAACTTTACACAGGGAGATACATGCAAGAAGAACGAAGCCCAAGAATTTCAGATCCCTGAAAATAGGCAAGTGTTCTGTCTGTTAGTGTTAGCTTGATAACTCCAAAATGCACAAGAGGAAAGGTGAGGAGTGACCTGACGGATGGAATGGCAAATTTCAGTGAGAAAACAGCTGCATTAACCGAGGGATAGAATCAAGATCACATGTTAGTACTGCTTTATAAAGTCTTGGTAAGGCCACACTTGGAATACTGCACCCAGTTTTGGTTATCGTGTTAAAGAAAAGATGTTGAGACTCAGAAAAGAGCAACAAAGATGATTAGGGGTCTGGAGGCTAAAACGTATGAAGAACGGTTGCAGGGATTGGGTTTGTCTAGTCTAGTGAAAAAAAGGACTAAGTCTTCCAATATTTGAGGAGCTGCCACAAAGAAGAGGGGGTCGAGTTATTTTCCAAGGCACCAGAAGGCAGGACAAGAAACAATGGAGGGAAACTAAACAAGGAGAGATTCAACCTAGAACAATTAGCCAGAGGAACGGCTTGCCTCCAGAAGTTGTGGGTGCCCCATCAGGGGAGGCCACTTGTCTGGAATGGTATGGGTTCTTGTGCTTGAGCAGAGAGTTAGACTAGAAGACCTCCAAGGTCCCTTCCGTTATTCTGTTGAAACTGATGTTCCAGAGAATCCAATTTGTGAATTCAACAAAAGAACACAATTCCAGGATTTAGCATTATGGCAAGCTGTGAACATCTGTACTTCGAAAAAAACTGAAAAAGAGCAGCTGTCTGGCCAACACAGAGACTGTGAAGTATTCCAGCTAGCTAATGATTTTGTTCAGTTGTACTCTGAACCTGGATTAATTGAAACTGCAGCAAAGTTTTCTTTCCAAGTGATTGGACAGCTCTCCCTTTCAAATTCATCTGGAATTCCTCCTCTCCATTCATCTGAGTGCGTTTGTTAGTTCTGAGTTGCAGCATTACCAGGATCAGCAGTGTTAAATGCCTATTTATTTATCCATTTATTTATCCTTTTATAAAACTCCCTTCTCCCTCACAGAGGGACTGTAGGCCGTGTACAAAATAAAAGGTTAAAAACATAAAAAAACGAATAAAAAATGTAAAAAGAAGCAAGAATAGTTAAAATTCAACCTTAAAAGGCAGGGGGAGGACAGTAGCCAGCCATACCTCCTTGAGCTCCTGCAAGCCCCAAGCCAGATGGCAGGGCCAGGTCTGTGGATGCTGTCGAAAGGCCAGGAGATTGGGGGGGGGGACACTTCACCTCTTATTTATTTATTTATTTATTTATTTTATTTATAATTTAATTTATACCCCGCCCTTCTCCTCATGGGACTCAGGGCGGCTAACAGCCTCATAAAAACTACAATACAAATACAATAATTAAAAGCCGAATTAAAAAGAAATATTTAAACAGGCCGATCAATTAAAATTATCCTTAAAAATCCCCTGAAACTTTAAAATCGT